AGGCTGACTCACTGAACCATATAGGACACCTTAGCACACAAAGCCACCCTACCAACTCAGGGAAGCTGTGAAAATGCTGAGACAAGGAAATAGATCACAAACAAAAGAAATGGAGGAAAAGAAGAGACTGGATATAGAGTTCAAAACCACACTTATAAGGTTTTTTAAGAATTTCCTTGAAAAGGTCGATAAGACCTATGAGGAGATGAAAAGGGATCAACAAGAACTAATAAGGAATCAACAAGAAATAAAGAATACATTGTCTGAAATAAAAATTATACAGAGTCCTATCGGGTCTAGTAATAATTAATGTCGTTTTAAAACATTCGTTTAAAATCTTGCTTGGCATTTTCTTGTATTGACATAACCTTCAAACACGTGATATCTACAGAACGTGTGAAGTGCAACTAACAAGTTTTGCTTGAAAAAGTTTGTGTTTGGTTTGGTTTTTGTTGCAAAACTAGGGCTAAGAAGATGGCAGATGAAGAGCATATTCGGCACTGCATGCTTTACGAGTTCCAATTAGGAAGAAAAGCAAGTGAGGCTGCAAAAAACATCTGTAGTGCTCTTGGTCAAGATGCAGTTAGCGCCAGAAAATGCCAGCGTTGGTTTGAGAAATTTCGCGAGGGAAATTTTTCGTTAGATGATAAGAGTGGTCGAGGCCTTGTGTCCAATTTTGATCAAGAAGCTCTTCAAGCTCTTTTGGTGCAAAATCCTCAAATTACCCAACAAGAGCTTGCTACAACTTTAAATTGTTCACAAAAAACAATTTCCAATCAATTGCGTGCACTTGGAAAAGTCCAAAAGTTTGGAAAATGGGTTCCTCCTGAGTTGACCGACAACAACCGTAATCAAAGAGTCACAATTTGCAGTTCGCTCCTCTCTCGTCAAAACCGTTTGCCGTTTTTAGAGCAAATTGTTACCGGAGATGAAGAATGGGTGCTGTATGTTAATTTGAAAAGGCGGCCTCAATGGTTGGACAAAAATAAGGCTTTGCAGCCCACGCCAAAACCTGACTTGCATGCGAAAAAAGTGATGTTGTGTGGTGGAATTTTAAAGGAATTCATCATTATGAACTTTTACCATCTAACCCACATGTGTCAAACACAAGGCCCGCGGGCTAAATCCGTCCCGCCAGGCCTTGAAATGTGGTCCACACCGCGCTGTCATCACTGCACTCCGCTGCGTTTCCATCACAATGACAGTTTATGACTGTTCAGTAAACCATTCGGCCCGCAATTTAGGCTGGATTTTAGATTTTGGAACCTTCTCTGATTGAGTTTGACACCCCTAATCTAACCAAACCATTACAAGTGCAGTGTATAGTGCCCAATTGGAAAGGTTAGCCCAAGCTTTAAGGGAAAAAGAACCCGCGCTGATTAATCGGAAGGGCGTAATTCTTCACCACGATAATGCATGACCGCATACTGCAAGAATCACTGCTGAAAAACTGCGCCAGTTGGAATGGGAAGTTCTCCCTCAACCTGCATATTCTCCTGATATTGCCCCTTCCGATTACCATTTGTTTCGTTCTTTGCAAAACTTTCTTCTTGGAAAAAAATTTAATAATGAAGAATGCCTCAAAAATGCATTGACCGAATTTTTTGCATCAAAATCACAAGAATTTTACAACAGAGGGATTAAAATGCTTCCTGAGTGTTGGGCACAAGTAGTAGAAAACAACGGCAACTATATTGTTGATTAAATTTTGTTGTATTGTTTAAATAAATTCTATTTTAAAAAAAGTATTAGAAAACGACAATAATTATTACTAGACCTAATAAAAACAAAATGGAAGATCGAAAGAATCAAGTCAAAGATTTGGAATATAAAGAGCCAGAAGACACTCCTCCATAGGAGCAAGAAGAAAAGAGAATCCAGAAAGTTGAAGATGATTTAAGAAACCCCTGGGACAACTTCAAACGAACCAACATCAGAATTATGGGGGTCCCAGAGATGAGAGAGAGCAAGATATCGAAAACATACTGAAAGAAATAGTGATAGAAAACTTCCCCCACCTGGTGAAAGAATTAGACCTACAAGTCCAGGAAGCACACAGAACTCCAAACAAAAGGAATCCAAAGAGGACCACACCAAGACAAATCATAATTAAAATTCCAAGAGCAAAAGACAAAGAGAATATTAAAAGCAGCAAGAGCAAAGCAGGTAGTTACCTATAAAGGAGCACCCATACGATTGTCAGCTGATTTCTCAACAGAAACCATGCAGGCCAGACAAGAATGGCAAGAAATATTCAAGTTAATGAATAGCAAGAACCTACAGCCAAAAATAATTTACCCAGCAAAGCTATCACTCAGAATTGAAGGCCAGATAAAGAGCTTCACTAATAAAAAAAAAAGCTAAAGGAGTTCATCACCGCCAAACCAGAATTATATGAATTGCTGAAGGGGTTTCTTTCAGAAGAGAAAGTAAATAAAGATAAAAACTATGAACAACAAATATGTAACTATCAACAAGTGAATCTAAAAACCAAGGGAATTTTTTAAAAAATCTTATGAACAATATTAACTGGTGAATATAACAGAATCAGAGGTATAGAAGGGGAGTGGACTGACAATTCTTAGGGAAAGGGGGAGAGGGGGAGGTAGGAAGAGACTGAACATAAACTGCACCTATGGATGAGGACAATGGGGGGTGGGGAAAGGGCAGAGGGTGGGGTGGGAACCTGGTGGAGGGGGAAAAATGAGGAACTTTTGTAATAATATGAACAATAAAGATTTATAAATAAATTAAAAAAAATAATAATAAATTCACCAGGAGAAAATTCTAATAGGCAGCCTCTTTTAAGAAAACACAATCCAAAAGTTTTAACCACAACATTCAACACTAATTACCCCATTTTCCTTAGGAATAAATGTATGAAGATTTTGCCAGGTCGGCTATGTTATATTACTGTTTGGAACGGCAAGTTAGTAATTCACTAAGCAAAGGCACCTATTGGCCCAGCAGGTCATTCACTCACTCAGAATTAATTGACATAGTCTCAGCTCTGAGAAGTTAATTACAAATTAACCAGAATACAAACACTGATATATTCCCCCATTCCTGGTCTTCAGTAGGGCCTGAAATCCTCCTATATAATAAAACCCTAATATGCAAATTAACTGACCTGGGGAACAACTGGTTGCTATGATGCATACTGACCACCAGGGGGCAGATGCTGCATGCAGGAGCTGCCCCCAGTTGGGAGGCAGTTCCTTGTTGAGCATCTGCCCCTTGAGAGGGAGGTGACTGATGGTGGCGTCTGGGGGGGGGGGGGGGGGTGTGGTGCCAGGCCACCAGCCAAGGCAGGCCAGTGGGCCTCCCTGCCCCTCACCCCTGATAGTTCCACTGCCAGTTGCCCCACAGATAGACACTGATTGCTGACCAGGCCTAGGGACCCTGCCCTATATTCAGGCAGTCCTTGGGTTACAGCGGAGATCCCTTCCTATGGTTCGATGTGCTATAAGTTGGAACCCACCCACATAAGCACCTACATCACTCACATGGAGCACATACACAGCAGAAATGAAGTAAAACAGTAAAAAAATTTAAAAGAAAGATAATTTCTGACCTTTACTTGTGGTAAATAAATAATAAAAAACATAGCACATGTTGAAACGATGGAACTTTTTTTTAAGACTGTGAATGGGAGATGGCGACGTAACCACGAAACGACGTAAGCTGAGGACTGCCTGTATTGGGAACAGTCTCTTAGATTTAAAAATTAAAACCTGGCGAGGCTGCTCTGACACTGAAAAACAGGTTGATGATGACATGCATGGACTCTGGCTTGCACCTTTTGTGGTCAGCCCTGATTCTGACACTTAAAACTGTGTGACAAAGCCAATTACTTAACTTCTCTCTGCTTCAGTTTTTTCACCCATAAGATGGGGAAAATGTTACTACTGCCTCAGAAGGATCATGTTACGTACTACTTTTTATAATCAGGGCAAAAGAATGTAGCTGCCCATACAGCAGCAAGATGCCTTTCACCTGTATGAAAAGCATGGTCACTGGTGGATGCAGCATCCCGGATTGTGAGAGGTATGTCCGACGGCCGATACAGGCCAGAAGGCCAGGACTAAACCAGACGTTGGACATCCCCTGAGGGTACCTCCTTCACCCCCTGCTCCATGCACAAATTTCATGCACTGGGCCTCTAGTTCATTTATAAGAACTGACAGCTTCTTTATTGCCTTCCAAGTCAGACACAAAATTTTAGAGATCACTGCCAATATTTTCATTTCACTCAGTATTCCCTTCCTTCAATACCAGCTGCACTTACTAGCAGCATTGTCTCATACAGCTAACCTGGAAAACTGGAGGTTGGCTGGAGTCTGGTTCACTCTTTATGTGAAAACAGGCAGTGTGGGATAGCAGTTACAAATCCCAGCTGCCAGCCATGACTATTAGTTTTATTTTCTGCATCTTAGTTTCCTGAAAAAATACAGGGTTTTTGATGAGAATTATCACCATGTGAAAGTAACTCGGAGCCTGATAAGAGGCTGTTACTTTAGAAATCTACCTGTTAAAGTCTAGAGGCAAAACTAAAGTCCAAGCAGATGGTCTGCATTTAGTGGTTTGACCCTTAATAAAAATTTCCTGAAAACGTTTCAAAGATCATTTCTGAGGAATCTGAGCATGTGGAAGGACCTCGAAATGCATTTTTGGATCTTGCTTATAAGCAAGAGATTATGAACAAAGTGAAGATGTTAATACATGTGAGGGGGGAAAGCAGAAATCAAGTATACTCCACTGGATCTGAGAAGAGTCCCTCCACATCATTGCTGGTTCTATACATTGCTATTAGTAGGGTTAATAGGTCATACTTATCTTACTTTAATGACTAAAACACTAATTTTACGTACTAAGTTTGGTCAAATGCTTTTCAACAGTGTAGGAAATACCTAAAGCTGGTCACCAGCTTCCATAGAGATTCTTGAAAATACTTTGTCCTAAGTATTTCTGTTGAGATAATCCCACCTCGAGATTTCTACCTGGTACACATGCCTCCCACTGGGCGATGAGATTAAAGTGACGGACTGCCGATCAACTAGGTCCAAGGCCTGGAGGGCTGATGAGCCAAAGACAAACTTCAGCCTGGGAAACAGAGGTTTCAGGTTAGACTGTGACTCTAAAACTTACCTCAGTAACTTGCCCAAAGAATCACTTGCAGCATTCAAAAAAATTTAATTCATTTTAGCTTGGAAAAAAAGATAATACAGCAAAATCCATGTAATCAATCCCCTAGAATAAACGTTAACATGTTATTTACAAACGGAGAAGCCCTCTTTATGCCTTATAGTGCTTCCTATTCTTCTTCCCAACTTCCCTTCATTCCTGAGACAACCATAAACTTTTGTGGTTTCTTTCCTATTAATGTTTTTATATTTTATTATATATAATGTGTATGTATCTTTATATATACACAAACAAATATGGTATATGTGGTACCGTTTTATAAGTTAAAACGAAAGTTTTGTTTTATAAGTAAAAAACAAAACACTGTAGGCTTTTTGGGAACTTTTTTCCTACTCAACATACTTTTGAAAAATGATGCAAGCTGCCCTGGCCAGTGTTGTTCAATGGTTAGAAGGTTGGCCCACACACTGAAAGGTCTCGGGTCCGATTCCTGGTCAATGGCATGTACCTGGGTTCCTAGCTCTGGGTTGCAGCATGTGCCAGAGACAACCAATTGATGTGTCTCTCTTTCACATCAATGTTTTTTCCTCTTTGTCCCTCTCCCCTGTCCCTTACACTCTAACTGAAAATCAGTGGAAAAAATATCTTTGGGTGAGGATTAACAAAAAAATAAATAAATAAAAAAAAAATTAATTACCCATTACAAATATACATAAAAGTAATATGTAAATACTTTTATTTTATAAGCATCCTATCAATGGACATTCTGATTCCTGCCATTTTAGACTATTATAAATAATACTCAATTTTCCCTGTGCCTGTCCCTTACTGCACATAAATGAGAATTTTTCCAAAGAGTATATAAGTAAAAGCAAATTGCTAGGTCTTAGAATATATGCAATTTTTCAATTTTAATAGATGTTGCCAATAGCCTTCCATAGTGGAAATGGCAAGGGAGCCACACTGGCCAGGGCTCTTGTGGACTTTTAGGTGTAAGTGCACAAATGCAATTAAATATTATTTAGTTTTAGGTAGCTTTCACTTTTTTTGTTGCTATTGAGAGTCTATATTTTTGAACTTCACTTTTTTTCTTGGTTTTAAAAAAGTAGATTCTATCATCTACAAATAATATTGTCTTTGCTTGAGGATAGAAATTCTAATGTCTTGTAACAGCTACATTTCTAAACAATCATAAACACAAGTGCTGTACAGGACAATATGGGGCTGCCTTGTACAGTCAAGTATGGTCTGGCTACTCACTTGAAAAGGGTTTGTAGTAATCATGTCAAAACTATTGTTCCTAGTTTGTTTTTTAGATTTAAAAAAAGAGAAATGAGCCGTTTGTTTTTTTAAGAAATGATTTGGCTTTTAAAATACATTAATGACTAAAAACTCCCACACATAATAAGATATATACTTACAATAATAGATGCTCATCAGGAACTGTAAAACAGGGATGGAAAGAAAGTTAATCATATTGAACCAGTGACCACAAATATAAAATTGAGCTTATGTATCTAATTTACTCCATCCCAATGTTCCACTAAACAATAAGACTTTGAAAAGCATAAACAAACAAACAAAAAAAAAGCATAAACTCACTAGGTTAATGACAGGGAGAAATCATATCTAAGAAAGAAAAAGAACTTTTTGGTCATGTAAAACCTCAGAGTACATCTCGCGTACTTTTCCTTCAGGAAGTTGCTCCAGTATGGGTTCTACACTAGTAAAATGAAGTAGCAGCCAAAGAAAACGAAAACTGTAGGAATGTAAGGTTCACATCAGAAATGGGAATTCCCGGGATAATAGTGAAGGGAGCTCTGGAAGATAGGGGAGAGCAGCCAGTCCGTATGGGGCAAGTCAGGAGGCTTTCGGACAGCCTTCCACAGGAAAAGGAAACTGATAAAACATCTCATTCGCATGAGCTCCTTGAGTACAGGCTGAGAACACTGATGATGAGCTTGAGTTTTCTATGCGGGATAAACATACAGAGCATCAAAGAAGCAAATGTAACTCCAGGAAAATGAGAAGTTACCCAGGAAAGGAAAAGGAATCATAGCTTCCTACATGCTCAGCGATGACTAGGTTTTACTTCACACAGATGCTCTAAAAAATGTCTCCACTCAAAGGGGGTATTCAGGAGGAGTATGACTATCTAGCACAGATATTTAAACATCAGAAAACAGTTCTGCTGAAAATGACCAGACCTCCAGGCGGCCACCTGGCCAAGCTGAGGGTCAGGCTCGGTCTTCAACCCGTCTCCGCGCAGCACCAACGCCCTCGGACAGCTGACACCAGGCTGACTTACCTACCCTTTTGGGATTGGAAGGTGTTTGAATTCCTGGCTGGCCTAATCTTTTAAGCATATATATTGCGTTGGTTTTAACTGAAAGAAAGTTAGCTTGCTCTTCTCAATTCTTTGAAAGCAGTAACTCAAGACAAACCCTTTAAAAGCGCAGTCCTGACCAAATCGGTTTGGCTCAGTGGATAGAGCGTCCACCTGTGGACTGAAAGGTCCCAGGTTCGATTCTGGCCAAGAGCATGTTACCTTGGTTGCGGGCACATCCCAAGTGGGGGGTGTGCAGGAGGCAGCTGATGGATATTTCTCTCTCATCGATATTTCTGACTCTCTATCCCTCTCTCTTCCTCTCTGTAAAAAATCAATAAAATATATTAAAAAATAAACAAAAGCGCAGTCCTTTTAACACAAAAGCCAGCCAAGTGAATGAGCAGAGGCGGTTTTGGGAACGAATCTGCTCTTTCTTCAATGCCATGCTCACTTTGGCGGAGTAGCTCCCATCAGTTCTGTCCAGAACAGAAGCCGAGCCGCCGGTGGCCCCCGGGAGCGCGGTCAGAGCGCCCTCTGCTGGTCCGAGGCGAGGAAGGTACTCGCACAACATCCATATTTACTCCCGTCTCTGCCTATGCATTTGGGTTCTGTGGCCCTAAAATACGTATTTGCTGAATAAAGTATACGAAAAGATTAAAGTTAACAGATTTTGAGAAAAAGGAGTGCCGGCACGTACAATAACTTAAGCTTTTGCCTTCCTCTGGGCCTGCGGGCTCGGGAGCCCGCCCGCCCTCCCCCTGCTCCCGTTCCGGCGGCGCAAGGCCCCCCGCCCGCCCCGCAGACGCCCGCCGCTGGCGCCGCGCCCTCGGCCCGCACCGCGCGCGCTCTCCCGCACCGCCGCGGCCATCTCGCTCAGGAGCTCCTCCACCACGGCCGGCAGCGTGGCCGCCGGCGAGGCCCCAGCCATGGGCCCGCCGGGCGTGGCCTCCTCCGAAGGCGGCCGAGCCTCGCGGGGCAGGTTCGCGGTGGGAGCCCAGCTCCGGCCGCGGGCGGGCGCCGCGCAGCGCAGTGACGTCTACGCACGTCACCGCGCATGCGGACGGCGCGGCTGACGCCAGCCGCTACGTCACGGCTCTGCTCTCCGAGCGCGCCGGGCGCTGCGGGCGGAGGTCCCGGCGCGGGCATGTTCCGGCTCCTGCGCGCCGGCCTGGGCCGCGCCCTCCTGCGGGCCGCGGGGCGGCGGGGCCCGGGCTGCTGGGCGCCCCTGCCCTCGGGGCCGGCGGGAGGCCGGGCTCCGGCGGGGCGGCTGCCGCCGTCCCGAGGCGCTCCGCGGGGCGGGGGTCCGGGCCTGCTGCCGCTGCTGGCGGGTGAGGCGCGCGGGGGCGGGCGCGCGGGGGGCGGGCGCGCGGGGGGCCGGGCGCGCGGGGGTGGGCGCGCGGGGGGCCGGGCGCGCGGGGGCGGGCGCGCGGGGGCGGGCGCGCGGGGGGCCGGGCGCGCGGGGGGCCGGGCGCGCGGGGGGCCGGGCGCGGGGGGCGCCGGGCGCGCGGGGGGCCGGGCGCGCGGGGGGCCGGGCGCGCGGGGGGCCGGGCGCGCGGGGGGCCGGGCGCGCGGGGGGCGGGCGCGCGGGGGGCGGGCGGCGCTGACCGGAGCCCCTCCCCGCAGCGCTCGCGTGGTTCTCGGGGCCCGCCGCGGCCGAGGAGCCGGGAGCGGGCGGCGCCGCCAGCGACGCGGAGCAGGACGAGGCGGAGGCCGAGATCATCCGGCTGCTGAAGCGAGCCAAGGTGAGGCGGCCCCGGGGTGCCTGGCCGGCTCCCGGGGGCCGGAGCCTGGATGAGGCTCCGAGGCCTAGTGTCCGGGATTGGATGGTCCGGGCGAAGGGCGAAAGGCAAAGGGCAAGGGCAGCGTGGAGCCCGTCCAGGCCCCTCGGACCCAGGCCCGTCAGCCAAGCCGCCAGGCTCAGTGCAGGTGGAAGGGCCCGGGCGAGGTGCTCGGAGACGGAATCAGCAGGCACGTTGGGAGTTTTTGTCAGCGCACCGGCCTCCTGGCAGGACTGGCAGAGAGTTTTCACGTGCAGAGTAACGACCTGACAGTGAAATGTAGTGGCGCCTCTGAGCGAGCTGGTTTTTCCCTCTAAACTTCCTTCTCACCACTTTCTATTTTCTCTTCCCCCAGGTTATCTATTCTTTAGGGCACATGTGTCAAACACAAGGCCCACGGGCCAAATCCGTCCTGCCAGGCCTTGCAATGTGGCCCGCACCGCGCTGTCATCACTGCACTCCGCTGCGTTTCCATCACAATGACAGTTTATGACTGTTCAGTAAACCATTCGGCCCGCGATTTAGGCTGGATTTTAGATTTTGGCCCCTTCTCTGACTGAGTTCGACACCCCTACTTTAGGGGGTTAACTATCGCCTTGATGCCAACAACGCCCGGATTTGTATTTCCGTGCCGCAGGGTGCCACATGGAGGCTCTGCCTACCTCTCAGACTAACTGGCCCCAAACTAAACACCTGAATTTAAATTCCCCCCAACACATTTCCTTCACCGTCTTCTGTTTTAGCCCGACAACATCAGTTATTCTTAAAACTTGAAGTATGTTATCACCACCTTCCAATACACTTACAGTCCAGCAGCAATTCCTGTTGCCAACAACAACAACAACAAATCAGCCCCTTTCCTTTGCCTCCTCTGCTGTCGCCTGAGCCATACGGTGCAGCCTGCCCTATTGCCCTGCACTTCATTGTCCATGCCGCAGCCAGAGTCATTTTTTAAGAAAGTAAATCAGATCATATCACCTTTGTGAATGACTTCCCACTGCATTTTTCTTTTTAATCCTGACCTGAGGATATGTTTTCTTTTAGGTTTGAGAGGGGGAGAGAGAGTTGCCTTCCATTCTCGACCCAAAAGGGGTTTGAACCCACAACCTTTTTGGCATACAGGATGACACTCAAACCAACTGAGCCACCTGGCTGGGGCTTTTCACTGCATTTATGATTAAATTTCAAATTTCTTGCCATGGCCTGCAAGGCCTTATCTTGCCCACCCATTTACAATAATCCTCTGGTTCACCATCTTCCTTTCATAACTCTCTTCATTTCTTGAATGGTTTGTAAATAACGGCTCTCTTCTGTCTGTAGGGCCTTGACTCATTCCTTACTCTCTGGGTCATTGTTCCCCACAGTTTCTTACTTAGATGATTCTTTCTCCTTCAGTTTAACTATCACTTGGAAAGCTCTGGCTCCTATGTAAAGGACACCCTTATTGTTCTTTCCATTAATGATTTTTGTCATAGGTCTTATTGTTAGTTGTAATTAAGCTTACTTGTTCAGGGATAGGGCAGGAGCTTTCTTTTTCTGTGAGTAAAGATTGCTCACATTCCTGCTCTCTGCATCTGAAGGCCAAAACTTGTCAAACAGCCACACATTGTCAACATAGTGCCTGGTGCATTCAGTGACTATCTGATGAATGAATGACTTCCTTCTATGTGTTGGGATGTATAGCCATATCCTTTTCTGTCTGGTAACACATGCATCTGTTTTCTTCACATTTCATTTTCATGTCTTTATCTTTTCAGTTGAGCATCATGAAAGATGAGCCAGAAGAGGCTGAGCTAATTTTGCATGAGGCACTTCGTCTTGCCATTCAGAGTGATAAGAAGAAGGCCATCATTTACACTTATGATTTGGTAACTCGTAACTAATCTCAGCCACTGATGAAGGGTGGACACAAGAGAAGGGATGTTAGCACTACTGATTTATATTCCTGACCTTCAGGACTATAAAGCTCTTGGTTTTTGTTTTACTAAGTTTTATTTTTTTCCTAATTTTTATTATCCTTGGGGTGTCACTTTTAAGAAGTTTCAATCCCAAACCCAAAAGAAACAAATATTAACATTTGTTTTTTTAAGGATGAGTGAATTTAAATTTGGTTTGACATCCACAAAGCATATGCAAGTATTTAGTCTCATTGCTGTACTTTTAGATTAGTGACATATTTTTTTCTCTGAACAATTTTTTAATTGGAGGATGAAAGCAAAAAGAATCATTAGCTTAAAAGTTTTGAAATAAGTAGGAACATGGTGCTCTAAACTAAAAAGCAACTTATAATTTACTTTCAGATGGCCAACTTAGCATTTATACGGGGTCAGCTTGAAAATGTAAGTAAATCACTTTGTATTGTAATATCTGGAATTTGTGAAGAATTGGCTTCAACGGAACACTGTTAGTAAGGGTTCAGGCTAAGCCACTGTAACAAAGTGGAGTGATTCAAACAAGAAGGAGGTGTATTTCTAGTGCATTAGTCCAAAGATAGTTAATCACCGAAAGGGGGACTTTGGACCTTTGTTCCATGAAGTGGTCTAGAAGGCCAGGTTTCTCTTAGACAGGTCCTCATCTGCATAGATTAGCTGGCTCACCGCCAGCGTGCAGGAAGCAAAGAGGAGAGGATGGAGGGCAAGCAACTTACTTAGAAAATAGGAGTTAAAAATTGTTCACATTTCTTTCTGCCTGCATCTTTTGACCAAAACTTTATCATACCTAATTGCAAAGGAGACTGACCTATGAAAAATTGAGATTCTGAAACTGAAAAGATGGAGAGGAGAGTGAATAGGAGGGCATAGTTTTCAGTTTCTGCCGCAGTGGCTTGGGATTAGAAGGTAACTTCTAAAGTTTTCACTAAGGTGCCCAGAGCCTGTGGGGTCCAGATTTTTAGTCTGTTTTCCCACCACAAGGATACCTTTCTCTGTGTGTCTGAATGTGTGTGTGTATTGTGTTTTATGAGGAATGATGCATCAGACTAGCACTTAGAATCCAGGGTCATCTAGATAGTGGACCCAAATAAAACAAAAATCTTTTCCTTATGCTTTTAGGCAGAAAAACTTTTTAAAGCAACAATGGGTTACCTGCTTGGAGGAGGCATGCAACAGGTAAGGATATTGCCTAGGATTGGGCCCTAGTTGAAGCTGGTTTCAAAATAGTCTTGCTTGCTGAAAATACCCAGCTCCAACTTGTATAAAAACTGCCACTCTCACTCATGCATAAACATGTAGCTGAGGAATTCACAGGCGCCTAATTCCTCCAAAAGGAAAAAGACTGAATTTCAGGCCCAAGTCAATCTTGAAGTTGATCTAAATAGTCCATGAGGAAGTGTTACTTGTCATGTATTTTCTTTCTCTCAATAGGAAGACAATGCAATAATTGAAATCTCTCTAAAGTTGGCCAGTATCTATGCTGTTCAGAATCGGTAAGTGTAGCCAGACTCTAGGACTGTGGACAGAGAACTGGGATCCCGGGATGGTGTATAGTTTTCATTTACCTTCTGGGCCTCCAGACCATCGGGGTCTTCAAAAAATTGTGTGTCACATTCAAAGTGTCCTCTTCTTCATCGTCGGAATCCCCAGTCTTTCCCAGTGTGGCCCCTGCTGCTTCAGTGACCCTGCTGATGGGGAATACAGCCCTCAGCCCTGGCTGCACAGACAAAGCTAATCAAGGGAAGCAACTTGAGCTTAGCTCTTTGTCGAAGAGAAGGAAGCAGTGTTAAAGCTGATGGGGGGAATAAACTTCGAAGAAACCATTTTGCTGATATAAGTATCACCCAACCAGGAAGTTAGGTATGAAGTTAAATGAGAGAGTTGCTATGGAGTCTTAGTGGCTAGTTTGGTTGGCAGCATTTTTAAAGCATCCAGAGACGGCCAGGTAGCTAGGTTTTAGGAAGGGGAAATGTCTGGGAGTAGAGTAAGTGGGATAGGAAGTCGATGCTAATTTAAAAGTGTTAGATGAGCTCGATCCTTAGAAGGAAGTGTGCCAGCACAGGAGAGGCTTTAGAAAACCATTTGTATGTGTTAGGAGCTGGTGAGGGAGGGCCGGGCCTTTTGTTCTCTCTAGGAGGAGTTCAAAGAAGAAACACTTAGGATGTAAGCAAAGAACTCCTCTAGAGAGTTCGATTCTGGGATGAATTTGAGGGAAGACCGAAGACAAGCTTTTCCTTAGATTTCAGTTGCTGCAGAAGTTGGGCACTAGAGGTTTGGAATAACATCAAGTCTGGTGCTCATGGAGGCGAGGGGCCCTGGCACTGGTCCCTGCCTGACCCTTGTCACCAGGAACTGCTAGACAAGCAAGCACTTCTGAGGCCTTTGGTTTCCAGTCTTCTGTGGAGCTTTGTGGTGGGTCCATACCGGGCAGCATTGCAGCTGGGTCTGCCTTGGAGGAGTAACAGGACTAGGTGTTGATGGGTGTGAACTCCTAGGTAAGAAGCCCCAAACTAATCACACTGGAAAGTAGGAGCCTCTAATAATGAGCTTATAAATTACTCTGTACTCTCCGCAAAAGTGTGGTTTGGTTTTATTTTGTTTTATTTTGTTTTATTTTATTTTATTTTATTTTATTTTATTTTATTTTATTTTAAAGAGAAGCATGAGACCAGAAAATATACAGTTAGATCCTGAGGCTTAGAGAGATTGACATTAGTTGGAGGGAAGTTATTTCTGGACATTTTACTCTGACTAGGAGCATCTTGTGGCCAGCTACCCCTGCTGCTTAACCTAGCTGGATCCAAACCATGTCTGTCAGGGTTTGAGTCTGGGGAAGCTTCTGAACTGTGGAATCACCTGTGCTTCCTGGCAAAGCACTAGAGGAGCAGGGCTGAGCCTTTTAGTACCACTTCCAGTAAGAAACGAGAGCCAGGACTGAGCTTCCGGACGAGGAGTTTCTGTCCTGTTTCTGTGCATGTCTAGAGAAGCCAGCAGTTGACCCTTGTTCTACTCAGTCTGCTGCTGGGAGGACACCAGGGTAGAGTGAGGCTAACTGCTTCCCAGAGCCACAGCCAGGGGTTCCATTAAATGGGCGACTACAAAAAAGGAAAATGCGACTTTTGAGAAATGGCCGATTGACATCCCTCAGAGACTTCAAAATTTCTCTCCCATCTTGCACTTCCTTTATTGATAAAATTCAAACCCCAGCTGGGAAAATGAGGATAAGAGAGTTTGTGAAAAGGTGAATAGCCGATGCTGATCTTTGCTTTACAGACAGGAATTTGCTCTTGCTGGCTATGAATTCTGCATTTCGACTCTAGAGGAAAAAATTGAAAGAGAAAAGGAATTGGCAGAAGACGTTTTATCAGGTGGGGAATCTGACTTTTCTGACATTGCGCAGAGGGCATCATTGTTCACTGTGGTAAAGGGCACGGGGGAGGGAGTCATTCGTTTGGGAAACGGGCCATTTTCAAGATCTTGGCAGAGGGTTTGGAATATAATATTTTGGTTCAATGACTTGATCACTGGTGTTTTCATATCCCATGGTGACATGTTCATAATTTATCGTTTTTTTATTATATACTAGAAGCCCTGATTGGCTCACGCACATACAATAGTTTAGGATTCCATTGTATGAGTTTACTCCAGTTCTCCTATTGATGGATATGTAGGTTCTACATGTTTTGCTGTGGAAGTAATACCTCTTTAAACATTTAAAAATATATATATTTTATTGACTTTTTACAGAGAGGAAGGAAGAGGGATAGAAGCACCGATGAGAGAGAAACATCGATCAGCTGTCACCCGAGGATATGTTTATTGATTTTAGAGGAAGGAAGGGAAAGAAACAACAGTATGAGAAAGAAACATCTATTGGCAGCATCCCTTACACTCACTGGGAATCGAACCCACAATCGTTTGGTGTGCGGAATGATGCTTCAGTTGAGCCACCTGCCTGGACTGGTTGTATTTTTCTTAATGATAGAGCATTTTTATGTATGTGATCATCTTATATCTGTAGGTTACATAGCTCTTTGTGGCCTTGTCTTTTCACATGTGGCATTGACAGCGATTATTTGTTCTTAAAAATTGACTTGAGAGGTCAGTAAATCAATTTGTGGTTCCATTTACTCCAGCATTCATTGGTTGATTCTTATATATGCCTTGACTGGGGATGGAACTTGCAACCTGAGCATATTAGGACAACATTCTAACCAACTGAACTAACAGCCAGGGCCTGTAAGAGAATCTTTTGATAGTTTCCTTTATAGTTTATGCTTTTTTTGTATGTTTAGTTAAAAATCCTTCACTCTTCTAAGGTCAGAAAGATCATCTCTTCTAAATAATTTGGCTTCACCTGTAGTCTTTAATTTACCTAGTTTGTTTTTTAATGAAGTATGAGGTGGAAATATAATTTTCCTCCCTCATGGACAGGTTTTGACTCAGTGATGCTTTATTAGTCAGTTCATCCTTTTCTTACTGAGTTGTAATGACAACTCTGTATTGAGTTTTCATAGATCGATGGAGTGCCAGTGTTGTTTAATTCTATAATTAATTTTAATTTTGGGTTACTATATCCTTTCCATATTTCGTTTCTTTATGTTTTTAATGCTTTTTATTTGTCCATTCATTCAACCAGTCAGTGAAGAAATACTTAACTGAATGCCTGCTACATGCCAGACACATTATTAGGCACTGAGATACAATCATTAAAACAGTCACGGCCTCCGAGAGCTAAATTCCTAGTGGAGGAAAAGCACATAATCAGCACTATCCAGTACATTGATAACATGTCCAAAGATGACGCAGTGCTATGTAGATGTCAAATGAAGGAATGTGTAGAGCGAGTATGGTGTTTCAAAGAGGGGTCAGGAAAGGCCTAGTGGATAAGAAATCTGAAGAATGAGAGGGGATAAATCAGCTGGCAGTCTCTGAGGGAAGAGAATTCCAGGCAGAGGAGGAATATAAGTGCAGGGTTCCGAGGTGGTGCATACTTGACATACAAGTAGTTTAAACCAACTGAGTTGATAATCTGGAATTAAGTATCTGAAATCTGAAGGGTGAGGCCTCCCTGTTATTGTCTGCTGATTCTCATTTGTGATCAGACAAAACTGTTCTCTAGATTTGTTCTCCAGTCCTGTGTGACATTTGGTGTTTTAAGATTTTTCAGACATCGTGTAGTCAGTTCTGTAATGTGTCAACAGGAGCTGTTTATCACGGCCTTTATTGTTATTCTTCAAAAAATTGATCTTTAAAATTGGTCTTTAAATTTGGTCTGAGTTTCCATCTCATGAGTCTACTGTTCTCTGGTTTCTTATTACATTGCTTTCTTTGCAGCTTAAAACTTTCATTGGCCCTAGACTTTCTGTGTTGTTAACTCATTCTACTTAGAATTTTATCTTCACATGTATCTGCTAAATATTAGTTTCAAACTAAAAATAATATTGTACAGCTTAATCAGTGTGTGGACTCAAATATATTGAAAAAGTGGGAAAAAGTTTGTCATTAAATGGGACATTGTGAGATTGTGATTTATAGGAAATACATATATGGTCATTCAGATGACCAAATATATATTTCTCACATATACTTATGTGATTTGTACAGTTCTTGGCTCACAGCTCCCAAAACCCTCAGAATTTCCTAATTGTTGAGAGTGAGGAAAAACAAAAAGAGTGAGCAAAGTGTTTTTGTCATGGTTTTTTTTGTTGTTTTTTAGAAATATATTTTACTGATTTTGTACAGAGAGGAAGGGAGAGAGATAGTTAGTTAGAAACATCGATGAGAGAGAGTCATCGATCAGCTGCCTCTTGCACACCCCCTACTGGGGATATGCGTACAACCAAGGTACATGCCCTTGACCGGAATCGAACCCAGGACCCTTCAGTCCCCAAGCCAATGCTCTGTCCATTGAGCCAAACCGGTCTCCTTGTCATGTTAATGAGGCATTTTTTGGAAGTAGCTGAGGATGGGGCTGGTTGCCAATGGAGCCAATCCTGTGATGGAGGGTTGGAACTTGCACTCTCACCTCCTGACCTCCAGGAAGGGAAAAGAGGCCAGTGGTCCATGATTTAATGTCACACCTGTGGCATGAAGCTTCCATAAACCCCAAAAGGGTGGCATTTGGAGCGCTTCCGGTTTGACCTTGTGGAGGTGCTGGGACAGGGGTGTACCTAGAGAGGGTGTGGAGGCTTCACACCGTCGGTGTCCCTTGCCCAATGCTGCTTCGCCTGGCAGTGCCCGAGGTACATCCTTTTATAATAACCAGTAATCTAGTAAGATGTTTCTCTGAGTTCTGTGAGCTGCTCTAGCAAATTAATGGAACCCTCTGATTTATAGCCAAACAGGTACAGACAATCACCTGGACTCGCAGTTGACATCCTGAGTTGGAAAACTCCAGTTTGTAGGTCCTCTGTCAGAAGCCCAGGTTACAACCAAGCCCGGTGACACATTCTCTCTCTCTCTCTGAAATTGGGTCCAGCAAACAATGTAGAAGTTAATCTACCAGAATTGGCAGGCCAGGATACTTCAGTGCCATGGAGCACTCAGGGGCTCTGTGCTGTTAAGTATTTTGGCTCCTGAAAGAAGAGTGAGTGGAGTAGGTTGGCCAGTTCTCTGACTCGCTTTCTGTATTGCACCCGTTACATCCCAGCAACGCTCTCATTTCCTCCTCAGCGGAAGACAAAGCCAACACCAGCCTGCTCCTCGGCATGTGCTTAGATGCTTACGCTCGCTACCTCCTGTCCTCCAGGCAGCTGTCACAGGCACAAAGGATGTATGAAAAAGCCTTGCATATTTCCGAAGAAATACTAGGAGAAAGACACCCGCAGGTAAGAGAGGAAAACAGGTTTCAGAATTTCTGGGACGTAATCAGCAGGTGGTCCTTGGGATGCCTCCTTCTCGTGCCCAGGTCCATTCATCTCCTACCACTGCCCGCTAGTCACAGACTGGGTCTGCCCAGAGCCCTCTGAGGGAGTGCTGGCTCCCACGGCAGAGCAGCCTGGCCAGGCACCAGGTGCTTCTGGGCCTCGGTATATCAGAATATGGAAGCTGATGTGGAACAGTTTAGCTTCTAAGGATCGTTGCCTCCCTTGCCTCACAGGTGAATGATAGGAAATGGCGGGGAAGAGGGAGGGCACATTAAAAATTTTTTTAAGACTACTGACAGAATTTAAGCAAAGTATGCAAAGCTTTCTGTTAGAACACTAAATACATGGAATTGAGTTGAAATCATCTCTGGATCTCTCTTCGATCAAAGTATGTTTGTAGAAGTAACAAGTGGATCACTTTGTGAATGCTTGGTATTGCCAACACAATTTTAACTGGACTGCACATGTCTCACAGTTGGGGTAGATGAGCAGGGCAAGTTATTGGGCTATGAATTACCTTCAGGAAAGGAATTTAGGACTTAATTATTGAGTCCCCTTAATGGCGAAGAGGAGGAATTGCCTTAGTACCAACATTTAAAAAAAATTTAATGGTGATCTTTCTAAAGTGGATAATATATTCTATTCTTTTTTTTTTCTTTTTTAAAGAAAAATATTTTTATTGATTTCAGAGAGGAAGGGAGAGGGAAAGGGAGATATAGAAACATCAACGAGAGAAAGTCATCAATTGGCTTTCTCCTGCACTTCCCCTACTGGGGACTGAGCCCACAACCCGGGCATGTGCCCTGACCAGGAATCCAACCTTGACCTCCTGGTTCATAGGTTGATGCTCAACCATTGAGCAACACTGGCTGAGCTACCCCTATTTCTTCTTGATGAGTCTCAGGGTCACCAGAAGGAATGATATTATGCTACAATGCAGCGCTGGCTTCTTAAGATTGCTGAACCTGCCCTGGGCGTGGTAGCTCAGTTGGTTAGAGCCGAGTCTCAGTATGCCGAAGTGACAGGTTCAATCCCCAGTGACAGCACATACAAATACCAACCAGCGAATGTATAACTGGAACAACAAATATATGTTTCTCTCTCCCTCTCAAATCAATTTTTAAAAAGATTGCTGGACATTAAATAGCTTCTTTTTGCTATTTTTCATTTGTTTCTAATATAATTAGTTATATTAGTAAATTATATTTATTTTGTTCCTAGTTTCTAGATTTGTGTCATTTTCCAGAGGGTCGAATTAAAGCTGCCCATTACACAGTATGAATAATAAAGGCACCTGTTTGTTAGTGGCTAATGCCCCTCCCCTTTTGTGGAATGCTAGGAAAGATGAAATCTTAAGTATATATTTGAAGGTTATCAGACTCCGAATTAACGTTAAATCTCTGTGGGTGGTTTTTTGATAGAAAAAGCTGCCTGTTTGTCTTCCTTGTATAGACCATTGTGCTAATGAGCGACCTGGCTACCACCCTGGATGCACAGGGCCACTTTGATGAGGCCTGTGCTTACGTGCAGAGGGCATGCGACCTGGCAAAGCAAGTAGGACACCCTGAGCTGCACGTGGTGCTCAGTAACCTGGCTGCAGTTCTGATGCACAGAGGTAGGAGCTGTGTGGTCTTGACCAATTTGCTTTCGTTTGGGAGGGGGTTACTGGGTTTATAAATCTGTGAAATGGTGCCGAGCGGTGGCAAGGGGCAGTGAGGAAGCCCCACAGTTAAAGGCTGGCTGAATAATACAAGAACAGGTGTGTGTTTGGCAGATATACCATTGTGCTCAACTCACATAACTTCTGTAGTCCTGCACTAGCTTGCTGAGCCACATCAATGCAGAGAGCTTTGCGGTGATAGGGCTTTACAGGTTTCTAAATATGTTCACATGTACAACTTACTTCGTTCCTCAGTGTACTTGTGAAGCTGATAAGGGGAGTGTCAGGGCCTCACCTAAGATTTCCAGAAGCCGGGATAACAGGTCCCTTTTCCCCATAAGTGAAGCCCTTGGCCAGTAGAGGAAGGGCCTCAGGGCTGCCCTGGGCGTAGGAGGACCACGGCGCGCACTGGGCTCCAGCTCTCTACCGCACCGGCCGAATCCTCACTAGTGCCGTCTCTTCAGAATCACTGAAAACATACGTTTTTTTTCTTATTCTCCCTTCTCTCTGGGCTATTTTAGAACGATACGCACAAGCAAAAGAGATCTACCAGGAAGCACTGAAGCAAGCAGAGCTGAAGAGAGATGAGGTTTCAATACAGCACATCAAGAAAGAATTGGCTGAGTTGTCCAGAAAAAGTAGATCTTCGCCTTAATCAAGCTCTGAGTAACTTTTTGTTGTAGGGAATTTCCTAGTACCAGTGGCATCCAAATCAGTGGCTTAAATGAGCAGATTTTTAACCTGTGTGTTGTAAGAATTTTTAAAACATGCAGTACCTGACTGGTCAGGGGCACTGACCTCTTTTTCCTTAGTTTGTCAAATAAAAAAAATTACAATAGCCAACACAATAGCTGTCCAGTGTGAATAAATCAAAATCATACCTTTTATTTTGTCATATTGGCAAAATATGTATTTTTTGGTGTGCTGCAGAATTTACATAATTAGTTTATGTGCCACAAGAGGAAGAGTTGAAAGTCACTGGTTTAAATCCTTCGTCCTTGGTACTCAAGTGTCCTCAGCTTAGCCTCTGTGCAGGACAGGTTAAATACCATTCTGCTTGTTTTGTGGTTGGTTTGTTTTTTTACAGGAAAAGCAACTTTCACCCCTGACTTTGACTTCTAAAGATGTTAAGTGATGTTTCAGTTGTAGCATATTTAGGTACTCGGTGCTGGTCTAACTGTAGGTTAAGATGGCTCAGTTTCCCCATAAGATGGGTAGGTGTGTAATTCACACAGGCATCTCTGCTTTAAGAACAAATCATGGAGCAGCCACCTAAACCCAGAACCTTAGGCCCTACCGCATCCGGGGTGCTGACATGTAGGCCCAGCAGAGGAGTCACTGGCCTGGACCCGACCCTTCTCCTGGCTTTGGAATGGGGTCTCAGTGCCCTCATTTGTAAAGTAAGGGACATGGGAGAAGGTATTTGGTCAGATGATCCTAAATGAATAGATTGCTATGTTGAAAGAACTTATTTTTCCCCAGTCTAGAAAGTGCAACAGATACTCCTCAACTCCTGATGGGGTTATGCCCTGATGAACCCATCATAAATGGAAAATACCCTAAGTCACACACATTCAGCATGCGCCAGCGGGTGGCTCGGTGGCCGGAGTGTTATCCCACGCACCCGTGTGTGGACTCTGTTCCAGGTCAGGGCACATACCTAGGTTGCAGGTTCCATTCCCAGTTGGGGAGCTTTCAGGAAACATCGATGTTTCTCTTTCTGTCTCCCTTCCTCTCAAATCAATAAATCCTGATAAAGGTTTAAAAACAAGTATTAAATACACCTAACCTACTAAATAGCTTACCCAGCCAGCTTCTACTGAGCACCTATCACTTCTGCACGTTTGTAAAATTGAAAAATTGTTAAGATGAATCACTGAAAGCCAGGGACTGTCTGTAAATACAAGATACATAGATGGGTGTTTACCTTGCAAAGAGCTGGTGGCCTTGGGGAAGGCAGTTTCTCTTGGCACTGTGAAGGAACACTTGTTACTGGTATGCCTTTGGGGTGGGGTAATGAGTGGGAATAATAAGCTTTATCCTTTCAAAATAAATTAAGAGACTCTACAACAATACTGTACATATGCCGTAGTTTTTGAGTTGCTCATAAAAAGTTGCTTACTGAAAAGCTAATAAAAATAAAATACTAAGGTTCAAACCATTAAAGATTTGACTAAAATTAGAACTTTATATTTTGCAGATGTAAGCTTCTCACTTTAAGCTCATCTATTCTTGACCAGCCAGCTGATTCCTTTAGTTAAGTCTTAACTCAAGATAAAGCAGACTAGGTTTCATTATAGCCCATTCTGAATTTATTAATGATTTTAAAAAATTGTCAACTATTCACCTTCTGCATTAGGAATGTTGTTACCTTTTCACAGTTGCAGGGGTTGCTGAAAATTAGGTTTTTCACCAGGTTTTTGTTTTTTAATATGTTTAATTGATTTTTTACAGAGATGAAGGGAGAGGGATAGAGAGCTAGAAACATCGATCAGAGAGAAATATCGCCCAGCTGCCTTCTGCACACCTCCTACTGGGGACGTGCCTGCAACCAATGTACATGCCCTTGACCGGAATTGAACCTGGGACCTTTCAGTCCGCAGACCAATGCTCTACCACTGAGCCAAACCGGTTTCGGCTCACTTCAGGTTTTATTTAAGAATTTTTGATCCTCCACAATGATTCAACTCATAGACCTGGTGCTGGAAAAACTAGTTTTCAGAAAGATAGTCTCTTTCTGTGGGTATTCTCATTCAAGTTCATTTGCACAGTTATAAACAAGGAAGCAAAGCAGGGGACTAATCCCTTTACTGCTCTTGTCATTATAGAGTGTTCAGGGCATGTTTTTATTTTATTTTTTATATGTTTTTATTGACTTCAAAAAGGAAGGGAGAGCGGGAGATAGAAACATCAGTCACGAGAGAAAACCACTGATCAGCTAGCTCCTGCATGCCCCCTATTGGGGATTGAGCCCACGACCTGGGCATGTGCCCTTAACCGGAATTGAACCCGGACCCTTTAGTTTGCCGGCCGACTATCCACTGATCCACACCAGCTAGAGTGTGTGTTTAAAATAGAATCACTCAGCATTCCAAAATGAAAGCTTTATGAAACCTCCCATTATAAACATGCTCTGGAAGTTGGGCTGCCAGAATATTTCCATGGAGGGTATCAGGAAGACCTTACTTTAGTCCTGGTGCTAAGAAATCATGCAAAAGGGTGGAGCTTCAGAACACAGATCTCAGCTTGCAGGGAGTTACACCTGGTTTACAGCCAACTTCAAGTCATTGGTCACACAGTGCTGTGCTGGCCCTCCAGATTGCCCCATAGGTGAGGCAGGGAGATTTCTGCACTCTCTTCTCCACTGAAGGGGGATGAAGCAAGCACATACTCTGTGTCAAGGATGGGGTGAGGGATTAGTAGCTAGCTGCTCACTTTGGGGTTAGGTGGAGCTGCAAAATAAGTTAAACTCCGACATATTTCATAAACTTTTCTGACTTGGAATAGCTTAAGACCCTCAGGATCATAGGGAAATACCATCATAAACCTTTTGGGTTAGTTGACAATATAAATTATAAATGACATCAGTACCTAAAAAGACAAATAAAGCAGAACACTGTTAAGTAGAACATTTAGTTATTGTTTTCTCATTCACATTAAAATGTGTAAGATATATATTTATAATAAAGTGAAACCAACTTTCCACACAGTAGAAATCTGATCACTAAACCTAACGGAAGGTTCATTTTGAGGCCCTCGGGTATGCTAGTACAAGGGGACAGCAACGGGTGCAGGCTCACTTCAGACAAACGCGTCTGTGGCCTGTCTTTGTTGTTTATCTAACTACACGGACAAGGTAGGAACCCATGTCCGTATCTATAAATAGGGTTGGACAGCAGCGCTACAGGGTGATGTGAAGGTCTTGATCACACATGAGACTCTTCATTACAAAGAAGGTCGTCAGTGGTTATCGGATCTGCTTCTTTAGAGGCTTCAGTACTTGTGTAAAAAGTTGAGGTCTACTTAAGTCTGTGAAGTGCAGATTTCTATCATCCTGAGACTCTATTTCTCCCCTTTGTAACCAAGGGCATCTCCCCAAGCTGCTCAGCATTTATTTACTGCAATTCTATGCCTAAGTTGTATGAAAAAATCTTGAAAATTCAAAAAGCAATTATTAATGAAGGAAAAAACTGACCCTCTAGTACCATCATCAGTTTAACATTCAGTTTTACATTATTTGCTCCTTGAAATTCAGTGACGTGAGAACATTCAACGACAAACCCTTGCCCACAGGGAATCAAGTGGGAGGAAGCACAGCGCCGAGAGAAGGGAAGGACCGTGTGCACCGCTGAGGTCAGCACATGCAGCATAAAGCAATCCAGAGGCCCACAGTGCTACACAAATCCTCTTCGAACTCAGCCGTAATACACATCAAACTCAGCACAACGTTTCCTTGGAGACCTGAGAGAGCAAGAGCCTTAAATCACACCCTACTGTGCCTGTGGACAGGGCGGGGTCAGATTTATTCAGAGAGGAAAGCGCTGGTGCTGCACCCACTGCAGCAGATCGCGGGGCAGCAGATCCCCAGTGCGCACAGGGCGAGGCGTGCCGCAATGAGCCTTTGAAGCGTTAAAAACAACAGGAACACACCCATGCAGTCATATTGCTTAAGTGCTGCTAATTAAAAAGTTTCTAAGCCTGCCCTGGAAATTTACAGTATGGCAGCATTTTGTTTCTCCTATCTCGACCTTAACACATTAATATACAGATTTCACGACAGGATCTGTGTTAAAAATCTAAACATTTCCACAAGATTTTAAGTATCACCTAGGAACCTGAATTGAGAGGAAACAATCGGATAAAAGTACAATGCCCGTGACAGCCAACGTTACACACTAGGCTGTATGAGGTTGTTTAGAAGGCAAGGGTTAAAAAGATAGACGAGATTTTAAAAAATCACCCCCAAAGTTGATGCTCTGACTTCAACATAAGTACACCAGATACTACAATAGGAAACACTGCAAAAAGATAATCTATTTACAGAAGAGTGATTTAAAGACATTATGGTTTTCTTTACAGATGTAAGAATAAGAATTGTCCGCTTTAAAAAAATTCTACATTCCAACCTTCCACTATTATTATAATCCACTGAACTGCCTGCATCAAAGGCAATTCTCTCCCATTTGACTCTGCAGTTCCATCATTTCTTCCTTGTCCATGGTCCAGGCTCTCCTGAAAAGTCTCTGGGCATGAGTCATGGGAAGGCAGGATTTTACCTGCAGTTAAAAATAAGACCACCAAAAACTAGAGGTCCCTCCTCCACGCACTGTCCCACCCAGGCCCCACGTCTTGAGCTCAGTCATCACTGTCCGACAGCGTCTCGTACTGCGCGGAGAGCAGCGGGGCCGGCTCTCGCTCCCAGATCCTGTTCTGCTGGTGAGGGGCTGCCTGGTTCACGGAGGCGGCGGTGCACGCGATGGGCGTCGGTGGTGTGCTGCTGAGCATCCGCATAGTCAGGGGGTTGTATGGAAACTGAGTTGAGCCTGGCAAGAGAAAAATGGTTTTCATTGTCGTGAGCATCGTTGCTGTTTTCACTTAACTTTCACAGGATGGAGGAGGGATCATACTAAAATGATCTTGTAAAACTAAGCAAAAGGAAACAGCACAGAGGGCCAAGTTTCACCACTTGGACTGTAGCCAGTGATAATGCAAGTCTAGAAAGGCCAAACATGAGTATGAGGTGTGGGTTGCTGAGTCCAGAAATGAAAGCTCAGGCCTGGATTTTAAGTCTAGAACTAGGTGTTTCCAAAGAATACAAGCAGAACTACTGGATACGAAGCTCTAACCGAAAGAGTCTGGTCACTCCCAGGACTTCTTGACTCTCACAGCCAGGGACACAGTTCCCACAGGATGAGGGGGAAGTGCCCAGGAAGGCGCAAGGTCAAGGGCAGCAGGATCTGCTGTGTCACACCGGCAGATTTATGAATGTACAAGACTTAGAAGAGAGATACACAAACCTAACAATAGTACTCTACCTTTTGTCAGTTTCTCGATTATTTTATTGTCCCCAGAAAATCTCCTACAGATTAAGAACCTCTAACAGAAGGCATACCATTTTATTAAGTAATTTCATGAATAGTTTAATAATTTCTTTCCTGAGAGATTGGAAGACAATCACTCATCTAGGCAAGTCTTCAAACTAGTACATAAGGACTTCACATCTGGTGTGAGAATTTTATTGGGTCGGCAAGTAAGTAATTGCGGGTTTCACACATATATGGCTTCAGTTGAATTTTTAGGTTTGCAGACGTAGTACAAATGTAAAACACATTTTGTTATTTGATAGTTGGCTATTCAGCTGTTAATCAGTAAAAAAAGTTTTTTGATCTGTTTTGTAGTTTTCGTTTGGCATTCGTTGAAAAATGGAAAATCAAAAGGAACATTTTCGTCATATTTTGATTTTTTATTTCCACAAAGGGAAAAACGCATCGCAAGCTCATAAAAAGTTATGTGCTGTTTATGGTGACGAAGCCTTAAAAGAACGGCAGTGTCAAAATTGGTTTGCCAAATTTTGTTCTGGTGATTTTTCACTCAAAGATGAAAAACGCTCTGGTTGTCCAGTTGAAGTTGATGACGCCCTAATCAAAGCAATAATCAATTCGGACTGTCACAGTACAACACGTGAGATTGCAGAGAAGCTTCATGTATCACATACATGCATTGAAAATCACTTAAAACAACTTGGCTATGTTCAAAAACTCGATACATGGGTTCCTCACGAACTGAAAGAATCACAGTTAACGCAACGCATTAGCAGCTGCGATTTGCTAAAGAAACGTAATGAAAATGATCCATTTTTAAAACAACTGATAACTGGCGATGAAAAATGGGTTGTTTACAACAATATCAAGCGGAAAAGATCGTGGAGCAGGCCAGGTGAACCAACTCAAACAACATCAAAAGCTGATATTCATCAAAAGAAGGTTTTGTTATCAGTTTGGTGGGATTACAAAGGAATTGTCTACTTTGAACTCTTACCACCCAACCGAACGATCAATTCTGATGTCTACATTGAACAACTAATGAAATTAAACAATGCAGTTGAAGAAAAGCGGCCCAAATTGACAAATCGAAAAGGTGTTGTATTCCATCATGACAATGCAAGGCCACACACATCTTTGGTCACTCGGCAAAAATTAATGGAGCTTGGTTGGGATGTTTTGCCACATCCACCATATAGTCCTGACCTTGCACCATCTGATTACTTTTTGTTTCGATCTTTACAAAACTCCTTGAATGGTAAAAATTTCAATAATGATGATGATGTCAAATCGTACCTGATTCAGTTTTTTGCTAATAAAAACCAGAAGTTTTTTGAACGTGGGATTATGATGCTGCCTGAAAGATGGCAAGAGGTCATTGATCAAAATGGGCAATACATTACAGAATAAAGTTATTTAGTTCCATGAAAAAATTGTCTTTGATTTTCTTTAAAAAATCCGCAATTACTTAGTTGCCGACCCAATAGGAATCAGAGTCTTCAATTATGCTGACAACACCCGTGTGAAATGTGTATGTCCTCAGGGGAGGGCACATTTCTGAGTTTTTCACTGACTTCTGTACATTTAACACCTAAGGAAAGGATGGCTTAAAATTCTCTGAAACTTAATCCATATCAAACATCCCAGTTTTATTTTTAAAAAAGGGTAAGTCTGTTTTTTAAAATATACCATCATTGCGGGTATTACGTCTTTTTAAAAAAGAGCTTTTAAACGGGCACAAACGGAAAGCATTAATAGACATGCTAGAGAATTGTTTTCATCTGTCTGTATAGGCACATGCACCTGAAGAGGGTGAGTGTCTTTTTAAACTGCTCTCTGTCTCTGGCTTGGATACCCTAGTGGTCCCTAAGCACCCTCTACTCTAGGGTGTTGGGGAAAGGCTGCAGGTGAGGCTGCCGTGCGTAGTTAATTCATGCGGAACTGAAACCACAGACACACTCTGCAAACGCCACCGTAACAGAAGGGCACGATGGATGAGACATTCCCTCACAGCCCTCCCTCTGCTCACGGCATCAGACCCTGGTCACTGACATTGTTAAGGCTACACTAGTATGTATTCAATTTCTACTCTGGAAAGCGAGCCTACTGATGACACAGTAATGGGAAGAGGGTTTTACAAGCAAAGTTTCTTATTTTAGAAATACCAAGGCACCAGTACAAGGACTTCAAGCCTCACCTTCCAGCAGGCAGCCCTTACCTGTAGAAGAGGGCCTGTCCTCCCAGCCCCAGCCCGGCGTCTGCCGGTGGTACTCCCCCTCCGAATGCACCGAGGAGACGGAGGAGGGCCGCTCGGCTCCTAAGTAGCCTTGCCCAGGGACAGGAGATTTGGACTTCCTGCTGTTTGACTTGCTGATTAGCTTTGGTTTACAAATGCCTCCTAAGGGTGAAAGAAATTAATAGGTGGTATATAGTAATTGTGTTTTCAACTTGAAAACCTATCAAGCCCTGGCCGTGTGCTCAGTGGGCTGGAGAGGTATCCTGTGCACCCAAGGTTGCAGGCGCGATTTCTGATGGGGTCGATCTCTGACTGGGGCACATGTCAGGGGCAAGCGACCCATTCCCCTCTTCTCCCCCCTTCCTCTCTCTCAAAATTCAATAAAAACATATCCTTGGGGGAGGAATAAATGCTAAAAACCAACCAAACAAAAAAACTAAGCCTACCAAAATGCTGCTATATAATGCTAAGTGAAAAGTTGAATGGTAGCATGAAATCCAAGATTGTAATATCCAATGGTAAAAATATTTAAAAGAAAGCCAGAATATACTTATGGCAACTAAACTAAAAAAGGGGTATGTCCTCATGCCATAAACTTAAAAACATGTAACAAGGAACTAAAACTGTGGAACATCATTTCTTTCCTGGCCTGGAGCACAGAAGCTGCTAAGGAAATCAAAGCAGGCTGACACAACTCTTCCATCCTCACTACACCTCCCCCACCAACTCAGAGCGTGCAGAAGTCAGCGCGCCACCCACGGAGAAGCCTCCGCTTGGCCTCAGTGGGAAGTCCTGGGAGAGGGAAGCCCAGCTGGGCTCCAACTTGAAACATCAGGAGAGCTCAGAGCCTCGCTCATCAGCCTCTTCCCCGTCCACAGAACATTTCATCCTGCCCCAGGCCCTTCAGACACAGAAAAAAGTGGGTACAAAGCAACTCTTATGCCTCCAACTATCTAGAAAGAAAGGCAAGCCCTTGATGATAAGAGAATATGTAATAGGACAAGGGGGAGAAGGTGCTTCATACGCTGAAGATGAACTTCAAAATACACGAAGCCAGTTTACAAAAGAAGCTCCAAGAAGAGATAAACCAAGAATGAAGTGAAAAGGCAAGAAACAAAATACCCAAATGTAAGAGACATAACAAAAAGGGAATTATTAGCACAAAGGAAAATTTTTTAGAGATAAAAAATAGCAACAGCAAGAGATCAAGATGACTAAAGGAATTAGAAGGTAACGGATGAGGAAGACAGACTATCCAGCAAGAAGATAATCATGTTTCTGGAATGGAAAGCCTAACAAAGAGAAAATAATTAAATATCCACTTAAATGGATATTCCTCCGAGTATAAAAATCTACCTGAAAACGCAAATGCCCTCTTGTGACCAGGAAAATTTAATACAAAATGATGAATAAAACATGCTAATAGTTAACTGAAATTGAGGGGGAAAAAGGACTCTTCAGGCAGAAAAACTATCACCTGTTAAAGGGGGGCCAAGGTTGGGGGACACATCTGGCCTTATTTCTTATATAACAATGAATATCAGAAAAACTAAGTCTATAAGATGTTTGGAGAAAAGTATGTGTTAAGAATATTATAACCTGCCAAGCTGTCATTTCAACGATAAAAGTAACAAAAAGACATCTCGAGCATGAATTTCTTGGACGAGAGCACCCTCTTTGAGAAAATGGAGTGCGAAAGCCTCACCTAAAGAAATGCCACAATAGCCGAGGGCGCTTTGGCTCAGTGGTAGAGCATCGGTGTGCGGACTGAGGGGTCCCAGGTTTGATTTCAGTCAAGGGCATGTACCTTGGTTGCGGGCACATCCCCGGTGGGGGGTGTGCAGGAGGCAGCTGGTCAATGTTTCTCTCTCATCGACGTTTCTAGCTCTCTATCTCTCTCCCTTCTTCTCTGTAAAAAAATCAATAAAATATATATTTTTTAAAAAGCCATAATAAATGGATGATACAACCAGAGTAGTTAGAATTGTGTAATAGTCAACAATGTTATAATCTTAAAATACACACTGAATGAATGAAAATCAAAGGTAAGAGCAGGAAGGGGAAGACAGAGCTCATCTTTCAGAGCAGAAAGTGAGCCCCCATTGTCCTAAAATTAATAAACTTAGGTAAGAATAATAAAAACCTCTCATCTCTTTAATCTTTTTCTTAACCTTAGTAAGATCTTTTCCTTGACAATAACAGAAAAATAAACCTGAACTAAATCTGAAATAATGCTTCAGGTAATTTTTTAAGAGTAAGAGAAATTCTCAAAAGATTAAGAAAAAAAGTTGCGGCTCAGTGGTTGACTGTTGACCTATGGACCAGGAGGTCACGGTGTGATTCCCGGTCAGGGCGCGGGCCCGGGTTGCAGGCTCTATCCCCAGTGTGGGGTGTGCAGGAGGCAGCTGATCAATGATTCTCTCTCTCTCCCTCTCCCTTCCTCTCTGAAATAAATAAAAATATATTTTAAAAAGAAACAAGGTATAAATAAACATTAAAAGCTTAGTCACTCATTGATGTGTGCTTGCTTTAATAGGATGTACATGATGATTTCCTCATTTTCCCTATTATGTGTGTCCATCCAGTGACATGTCCACAATGATGCTCATTCCTCAAAGAACACTAGCTTTCTGGGTAATGTGGCCTCTAAAGTATTTTTTTCCTTTCTTCTTACTTTTTTCTATGGTATAAAGTTCTTTTATGATAAACTATCGTTTTTATAATATTATAAACTAAGTCACATTCAAAAGCAGAATGTGAAATTGCACTTGTGTTACAATTATAATGTATGCACACAGATAAGGACCAGATGCAAACAAAAATAAAAACAGCTAGGCTGGAGGATGACAGTCTGGGAAAAATTTTGTCTTTCTTTTTATGTGACTAAAATGTCTGAGCAGGATAAAAAATTATTTTAGGTAACTAAAACCCTCAGAGGTTATTCTGCGCATGTAAATGAAATCTCTTAGTGATGCGTGGAACTTGGGGAATAAACCTGCTTTTCCTTGGGAAAGAAAGAGAAGGGCACTAAAATGCAAACCTTACCTGAATGAGGCGATGGGTCCCGTTCTTCTCTCCGCATCTCCCCACTGGTCACAACTGAGGCACTGGCAGCACCAGGCACCACTCCCACAGGCTGGGCCATGACGACACCGTGGTCCTCGGCCTTGTCGTCGAAGCTCCCCATGAGAGCCTTCCTGATGATGTCTTCTAGGCCAAGGTTACTGGCAGGGTCCGCGAAGGAATGGCCCCGAGAGCTAACTGAGCCTGAGGGACACCACAACGTTTCTGCTTATTTCCGAGACCATCGGGGAACAAATGAACAGACTGCACACAGCCCTTCTGTTCACTGAGTGCACCAGCCAGAGCCCACACAACGACCATCTTAAGTCCACCAGTAACTCAGGAAATGTGTTTTTCTTTGCTAATGACCTCGTCACCCACTTGTGCTCTAGTTACTAAGACAGTTTTCTTCTTGTTTCCTAGTTTCTGTGCTGTTCTTGAATAGTTTTGATTCTCTTTGTTCACTTATCTTTCAACATGTATTTATTGAATCTCAATTCACTGTTTATTGCTATCTCCCTAATTATGAGCATTTAATCATTTTTGTGTACTGAAGTAGTCCCTAGTATGCAGTCAGTACTCCATACATATTTGTTGGATTGACGTCTATCATACCAATTTCATTGCACATAATCTTACCTGAGGTAGTGACTGCTGGCAGGTTAAAGATCTCAGTTCCTGGCTGAGCAGCTGCTGTATTTAAATAAACATTCAAGTTAACTGAAATGTGATAATCATGTACATAACAAAAAGATAGTCTCAAAAATATCCCATAATAAAATTGACTGTTTTTTCCCATGATCTCAACTTTATTTTTCACTCATTAATATAAAGTGAAAGAAATAATCTTTTTAAAGAAAGGAAATCAGAAACATTTGAGGTGAGGTAGGAAAAGCAAACAGGACCGATACAACCCAGCGGAAGGACAGACTGCACTGCTAGAGAAGCCCAGCAGGAGGGGCTCCCAGCCCAGGGCCAGGCTCCTGCAGATGGCGGCAGGTTTGAGGCCGCTTAATGATTAGTGTGAAAAGGACCTGTGTTTCCCTACCAGGGTTAACTGGAAACTTCACCAGTTATCAGGATTAGACAAACATTCTGCCTGGTGATTCTTTTCATTCCTGCTAACTACAATCTCTACTTTGTATAGTTTGAATGACAACAGCTGGCACAACCTGGGAACTATTATACCTATAAAAAGCACTGTGCCAGAAACAGAAGGAATTTATTCAATAGTAACAAATGGTGTTTTTCATCATATCCCCCAACTTCATGTAAACATCTGGGAAAAGAAAGAAGAATAATAAGTGGGTGGCTAAACAAATGATGTCCCAGAGGAGATTTTGGATGAGACTGCAGGAAGACGGAGTCTTCCCAAGGATGAAACCTATCTGTGAAGGTGGGGTGTGTGTGTGTGTGTGTGTGTGTGTGTGTGCGCCTAGAAATAAACTTTCTTCATCAGAGAGCTTTACACTGGCAAGAGGGGAAGAACTACCTTCAGGAAGAACTATAAAACAATAACTGAGACAGTCTATTTACTAATAGGCCAGGTAACACTCAACCTGAAATAATGAAGTGATAAATACAGCCTATAGTTATCTCAAAAGTTTGTGGAATAACATTCATTCATTCATTTTACAAATATTTACTGAGCAGCTATTTGGTTGGATCATAAAAAGTCACCTTATTCATCAAAAATGGTCAGGTGAAAACAATGTCATGTCCTGCAGCCAGGGGCAATACTGTAGGACACTGGACACAAAAGGCATTTCTTTTACATACTGAGCTTCCAGTTCGGTGTGGTGTTGAGGCTGTCAAACCAGAACCATGTGGTAGCTTAGTGAAAGCATCAATGTCCTTCCCAGGCTCCTGTTAACTCACATGCTGAAGGAGCATCCAGATGGTTGTGATCGATACGGTGTTACAGTTTGGATGATGTAAAACTGATGCTTTCTCAGTTACACTTCTTGGTCAGAACTGAATGGCTTGGGAGTCCCATGAGGTTCCTGGCTCCTTAGTACCAGCGATTTTCAACTGGTGTGCCACTGCAGGGACTTCTACAACATGCACTACCTGACTGTTTAGTCAGGGGCAGACTTCCTTCCCCTTACATTGTCAAGTAAAATGATGACAGCCCACACAACAATAGCTGTCCAGTAAAAATGAATCCAAATTATACCTATTTTTTTTTGTCAGATTGGCAAAAAAATATTAATTGGTGTGCCGTAGAATTTTAATTAGTTTATGTGTGCCATGAAGTAAAAAAAAGCTGAAAATCACTGCTTAATACAATTCCTTAATTGTCCAACTGTCCCGGTTCCACAATCAAAATGAGTTCATTCAATAAAACAACAACAACCATACTTAAGCAATTTTGTTAGTACTGGCCTTAACACATTAGTACATTTTATCTTCGATACTAGTTTCATTATACATTTTCAGAAAGTAGAGACCATCTGTCATTTCAAAAGCACCCAACGTAGTAGCTCAATAAGTAGTTGTTAATTAATGGATGAGAGAGCTACTCCTAAGGACAATGGGAAAACCGAAGGGGAGAAAACTATACTGTGGGCTTCTTTAATTCATAAGTGGCATTTTCCTGTCAAGAGTTCCTTTCCCGTCGAAGCCGGTTTGGCTCAGTGGTAGAGCGTCGGTCTGCGGACTGAAAGGTCCCAGGTTCGATTCCGGCCAAAGGCATGTACATTGGTTGCGGGCACATCCCCGGTAGGGGGTGTGCAAGAGGCAGCTGGTCGATGTTTCTCTCTCATTGACGTTTCTAGCTCTCTATCTCTCACCCTTCCTGTCTGTAAAAAATCAATAAGATATATTAAAAAAAAAAAGAGTTCTTTTCCCACTGAAACAACACAAAGACTGGAGGGGATGAGGGCAAACCACACACATGAAACATGCTTGGCTGCACTCAGCTGTGCGTCTCCATGCTCCGGCAGACTCATGTCCGGGCTCTGAGAGGCTGAGAACAAGGGCAGCGGGTTTTGCTGGTGACATTTTAGGAGCTGAAAACAACAGATGAAACTACTAAAGCCTGGAGACAGAGTAATGTAATTACACTGTTTTTAAAAAGGAGGAAAGATACCTGTAAGTTAGTAGCAATCTTGGTCAACATTCTAAGATACTGATCTTTTAGATGATTTGTTGCAATTTAAGATAATCAGCTAATAAGAGCCAGGGTAAGTTCTCAAATAATAAGTGGCAGAGGGCTCATCCTTTTCCCCTTTGACATTCAGCCTTTACCAGTCACCAATTGTCACAGATGCGCACACACATCCCCCTGGCAGGTTACCGTTCATGCACGCAATTTCTTTAAGGAGTCGGGAGACGAGGTCCTAGATCACAGAAAAAAAGGAGACCGGTATGCCCAGATTTCTGCAAGGCACTCCACAAAGTTTCTGTGTCACTGGATATGCCTGAGGAAGGGGAATACGGGAGACTGGGCGGCAGTGTGAGGGAGTGTGCCAGTAACACGGCGGGAGGACGCCCTGACTGATGGTGCTTGTAACCCAGGGGAGGTGTGGAGCCAGAGCTGCATCCTAGTGGATGTCGGCCCCCGATGTGGGTACCGGTGCCAACAGCGCAGAGCCGTGTGACCCGCAGCCCATTCCCTCCTCACTGACGGTGCGACCTGCACCAGTTACTAAACTTCTGAGTCCCAGTTTTCTCAACTACAAGGTGGAGATAATATATAGTAGCATGTAAGGTTGTTGTGAGGATTAAATTAGTATGTCTACATACATACAACACACACAGGTACATACATGCTTAAAGCAGTGCCGAGAGCATAGTAAATGCTATAGCTCTAACTTTCTACTGTTATTATTATTTTTTTTTAATATATTTTATTGATTTTTAACAGAGAGGAAGGAAGAGAGATAGAGAGCTAGAAACGTCGATGAGAGAGAAACATCGACCAGCTGCTTCTTGCACACCCCCTACCGGGGATGTGCCCGCAACCAAGGTACATGCCCTTGACCGGAATTGAACCTGGGACCTTTCAGTCCGCAGACCGATGCTCTACCACTGAGCCAAACCGGTTTCGGCTCTACTGTTGTTATTGATGTGAGTGTATTTCTCGCTGGTGGCTTTATCAGATCTGCAGATGGATGCTGAATGACTGCATTGAGGTCCAGAAAAAGCCAGAGTGACAAAAGCCAGACTGCATCATCCTGTACTTGGAGCCAGGTAACTGCACAAGGACAGCGAGGGGCAGGTATGAACCAAGAGCAGCACATCAAGGGACCTTGATATTTATATCGATACTAAGTGCACTGTAACTTAACAGTACACGGGTTGCTAAAAACCCTAAAACAATCTTAGACTCCCTTAACAACGAGGCCTCTCCGGACTGCTGAAAGGCTAAGCGAGATAAAACATCTCGTGGAGAGCCACCGAGACGGGATGAATACTCAGCACCAGGCTGTGTGAGGAGCCACTGTGGATATGACAATTCTGAGAAGACTCCAAGGACAGGACCTGTCTTCAAGTAGCTGAAGAGAGATCATGTAGAGATCAGAGGGTAAGAAACTCTGGACTGCTAACCCAGCCCCAAATCAGAAAAAGTTTCCTAGAATCAGTATTTATTAAAAGAGAAAATAGGTAGCTTCAGAATGCAGTTCCTGCTCCCTAATAGAAAATCTTCATTCACTGGCAGACATTTGAGAAGGAACTTTAGACAGATGGCTATAGAGCCTAAACACAAGGATTATACAAGAGGCAACATTGGAGATATCATTATCATTGCGTGTTTTATGAAAGAAATCCCACTTACCCATATCAGAGTCACCTCCACCAGAGGAGTTCAACTTACGAAAAATCTCCTGCTTCTTTGATTTAACCATGGGTGATGTGTTTTCAAGCTTGGTGAAGAATGAAGGCAAGTAGTTTATACTCCCGGGTGAGCGGGAATCATTCCTGTTGGGAACACAGTTGTCTATTATCATCATGAACTCCTAACTGGGGACTTTCCTATCAATGATAACAACAGAGTATTGGGGAAAACTACTACCTCCCGTCTGGTGTGTGGTTGGTTACAACCCTGCGGAGCAACATGTGACCACAAGCCAGTTAAAACATCAGATTTGAGGACACAGTTAGAGATGAAATCATGAAATGAGAACTGGAATGGAGATCATCCAAAACAAGGATTCTTAACAAAGAATGAATAAGCAGCAAATATTAACAGAAAAACGAAGAACCAGCTCACAACGCTGTATACATAACAGCACAAACACTGATATATTTAGGTACCACATGAACTGTAAACTATTTTACTAGCAGAATCACTTTGAAGTACAATAAAGTGATAATGAATAGCACACTTGCCTATAAAATAGTAAGACTTCAGACCTGAGCAATCAACACTTGGACCTGAACATAATAACTACATGCAGAAATTGTTGCAATCATTTAAAACCCTCCTGCCAGATGGGCTGCTTCCTGTAAAGGGTTTCATATTTCACTGGAAGCTTCCTATACAAACACTGAAAGACAAGTGTCCTCTAACAGCTCAAGATTCCAGGCTCTGACTGGAGCCAGAGCTGGAGATAATTGTCTGGTCATGGGATTCTTTCATCATCCAAACATGAGAACATGACCGAAGCTACTACTTGCCAAGAAAGATGAATAAAGTGATAGAAAAAATGAATGAAATGTCCTAAAAAATACATAAACTTAAGAGAAAACATAAATATATAATTTCATCTAAAATCATTTCCTCTTCAAAAATGGATTTTCTTCCTCTCGTTGAAAAGTACCGACATCTGTTTATTTGCCTATGAATATCCTATATAATAAAACCTTAATATGAAATTGACCAAACAGCAAAATGACCAGTCTGCTTTGATGCGCAATGACCACCAGGGGGCAAATGCTCAATGCAGGAGCTGCCCCTGGTGGTCAGTGTGCTCGCCAGCAGTGAGCCTGGCTTCTGGGGGAGCACTGCTCAGCAGGCAAGGGGGTGGGGGTAAGGAGTGAGGAATCCCGGACTGCAAAAGGGGGCAGGCCAGGCTGAGGGGCCCCCCATTTGTACACTAGGCCTCTAGTGTATAATAAGTAAATAACTTACACCACACTGAAAGAAATGCACTAACAGTCTGGAGTGAGAAGACCTTGGTTTAAACCAGGCTCCCCATCTTCCTTGACTTGACAGAGGGCAGATCATGTATTCACCTCGAAGGGCAGCAGGCCAGGGTGTCACAGGGGGAAGTGGCAGGAAATGAGATGAGTGGTAAAAACCTGATCATAAAGGACCCTCAATGCCATGCTAATGACT